TATCCAAGGAGTTTTATCAAGAGAAGCTTGAAGAAGAAGACATCTCAGCAACAGCAAGAACAAGCAACCAGACGGGTAGTCCTACCTTACATCAAGAATACATCAGAACTGGCAACCAGATTATTGGCTCAAAAAGGAGTCTTCGTGGACCACAAACAGAATGCCACTCTAAGGAAATTAATCTCTAGACCAAAGGACAACCGGGACTAGACCAAGGGGAACAATGTGATATACCAAATCAGCTGCCCAAAATTCTACGTTGGACAAACTGGGATGAAGTTATGCACACGAATAATGGAAGACAACGCGGCTGTCAGGAGGCATGACCCTGTCCTTGATTTTCTATACACGGGGAACAAGAAGGCCACTAATTCAATCTGGAAAACGCAAGACTTCTGGCATACGGAGACACGCGACACGGAAGAGAATTTCTGGGAGCATGGTACTCCAATGCAAATTCGATCAACCGGTGCATCGAACTTTATCCAATTTACGCACCCCAGAACATTCAAGGAGAACCGAAAAATGGATTCACAAACAAAGGGACTCCTCGGAGTCAAATCAATAAAGGACAAAAGCCGGAACTTGGAAGGACAGATGTCACTCCAGCATCGACCAGACTGCGACGGCGAGGGATGCCAAGCTCAAAGTTCACGTGGGCATCGGCGAGTGAGGACACGGGATAACAGAGTAACCAATGGAACCTCCCAACCGAACAACTAATCGCGGTCAAAGGTCATCCCCGGCTACCAGCACGTATATTAACACACACGTAACGCTACTGAACGCACAAGCACTAACCCACCGCTACGCACAACTACGCTCCACAATAACGCACTGATGATGTCACCTCGATTGGTGATGAAACGTTTGCAATCAAATTACCCAGCTTAGCGAACAAGCCAACCAATATGATCTTGACGTTCTTGATTGTTGAAACTCAAATAAATGCACACTACAAATAGAACGACACAAGAATAAACTGATTTTCAAGCTGCATACTGATCAAACTGATTTCTGTTGATCGGTTTTATAAACGACCGTTTCACAGTGTTTACTCTGTCACTGTTTGTTTATCTCCAATCGAAGTGACAAGCTGCCTGTGTGGTGTCATGAAAACAGGCGTGACTTCTTCATACCTTCGTCAAGTGTCTCTCAACTGGCCTACCTTGTTTCCGGCAGAAAGACGCAGCTAATTTATTGTTTGGCAGTCGATATTTGTAGATTTGTGTGTTACAATCAGAATGAAACGGACCGCGAAATTCCGTAAGGACTCAAAAGCCAGATAGTTGAACGAGTTTTCAGACCGCAATCTCACAGGTAAAAGAGTTTCACCTAACAGGCGACAAACTGATTGATACGTATGTTCAGGGTTGTCGAATGACTCACTTCGTGAACCAGCTAGAAAGGATGAATTGTGAGAAACTGTGATCTTGGATTATATGTAGTATGATTGGAAACGGTGTTCCGTTTTGAAGTCTAACCGCAGGAGTGCACACTAGTCCACTTCGGAACTGAGGTTTAATTTTGTATCACGGCAAGCCGTTGTGGATCTGATGTAGATCGTGGTG